GGTTCCTGCTGCTGTTTTGTAGTCTTTCCTGTTTGAATAGAAGGTGCTTTCCTAGGTCAGATGTCTTGGTGTCTCCAGGTGAGGGAAGAAAATCTCTGATCCAAATGGACTTTTCAGTGGATCTCCTGATCAATTATTTTGAGGTACAGCTTGGTCCCTTTGATGTGTTCATTGATCTTGAATGGGTTTATCTGGATCCCGTTCTGTTCATGGCAAGGGATATGGATCACTTTAGTACTGTGTTGCTCTTGCACTGTTTGAGTGCCTAATGAGTCTCCCTTCTTCTTTGCACTTTGTGGAGTTCTTCTGTGGTTGCCTCATATTGCATTTCCAAGGTTTTAAATTTCACTGTGTAGGAAGAGCAGCAAGACATGTAGTCCTATAATCTTATCTAGACTTTCTCATAGTCTTGACACTATCATTCCTTTCTTCAGCTGTTTGCTCAACAAACATTTATGTATTAGGATTCATGTTTTTCTCTAGAACCTGAGGAATGATGAAGAATAACACATGGAAAGTTTAATTCTCTCTACTGTGGAATGTAGGCAAAAACAAATCACCAAACAATGATTACCCATGTGAAAGTACTCCCTTTTGTTTTCAAAATCCTAAGTTTAAAGGTCAGTTAAACCTTCCTCAGCAATTGCTTATATCTGTTAAGTCAAACTCCCTAAATAGTTGCTGTTACTGTCTATCCCTTTCTCATTTCTTCCTCTTATCCAGCTTTTCTGCTGTCACCTGAATAATTAAATGGCTTTCCTACCTAAGAACTTTGCCTCTGATTATTCCCTGTGATCTCTCTCCCAAACTGATATCTGAGGGAATTTGTAATATGTGGGTCTGATCATACTTCCTTTTGCCAGTCAACAGCTCTGAAGGGGAACAGTACTTACAAAAACTGCAATATAACTATGCACTCTTCTATTCAGTGCACTTATATTCTCCATGGTTACTCTCTGAGCATCCTCAGACTTGTCTCATGCCCATCCTTTCTTATAAATCACATCCCCAAGTACCATGTACTCATAGGCGCTTGAACAGATTATAACATGGTCATTATCTGTACCATAGTATCTACTTGACCTTTGACCCATAATGCTTTCCCCTCTCCCCCACTTTATCTGACACAGCAGGGTACAAATGTCACCTCCAACCTGGGACACTAGACATTTAATCACTGACTCTTTTGTGGTAACTTGACCAACCTTCCACGGTTGCATTTTTATTTGTTTTTTTTTATGTCTTTGGTTATTTCAGGGTCTCACTATGAAGCTCAAACTCATAGTGATTCTCCTGCTTTCAGCCTCCCCAGGGCTGTGATTACAGACGTGTGCCACTATGCCAGGACTCTGGCCAGCCCAGTCCATCCTGGGGATGGGAATAGCATGGCATGTGGTTCCAGGGATCAAACCGAGTCCCTGCACTTTGCCCCAGTTTGCTTAAGCAAATCTTTAGTCCACTGAGCTGTCTTGCCAATCCCAAAGTTGTACTTTTAGCAGTGAAGTAAAATGTATAATTGTTCCTTGCACAGTCTGTAAGTTTCTGAGAGTCTAATTCCTGGCTAAAATCCTATGTGATTTTTTTTCCCCAATGATAGGCAACTAGAAAGGTTTTATCTAACATGCCTCATGGGAAAGCTGCCCTCCCTACCATCAGACTTGGTGCATAGGCAGTACTGTATTTTCTGGAGTTGTAGTCAAGGACTTAGCTGCTCATGCTGACATGAATTTATGTTCCTAGCCCTGATGCTTTCACTGATAGGTGTCTTTAGCTAAGACCTTGGACAAATTTTGTTTCTTTGTGTCTTTCTTTTTTAAAAACACTGAGAATTAAACTCAGGAATTAATGCTTGCCAGGACAGGAGGGTGCTGTGCTATGGAATGATAGCCTCAGCCCTCATGTACTTTTATGGAAGCTCTCTTATCAGGGAAAAGAGAAGTGGTGGAATCAGCATTTTCCTAGTTTGGAAAATGCTGACTTTCAGTTATTCTTCTCTCATTTCTGGGACAAAATACCCAACATCTACAATTAAGAAAGGAAAGGACTACTTGGCTAACAGTTAGTTGAGGTTTCATTCCATGCACAGCTGGCTCCAAGGCAGAGTGGTAAATGGCACAGAGAAGCTGTCCATGATGGTGAAAATACAGCAAAAGCCAAAGGGAGAAGCAGCAGCTAGAGCAGCTAGCTAGCCTCTCTCCCCTCCTCATATTGTAATGCAGATTACCTGCTCCAGGGAGGGTGCACCACTCACACCAGCAATCAATCACAAACTCCAGAAGCCACACCATGACTGCATGAGTCTTTGAGGGGGAAGATTAGACACAAACCATAACATTCTACCCCTGGACCCCCAAGGACTCAAGCCCATCTGTTTTAGTTGATACATTATGTCAGTTTGGCTGAATCAGACAGTTCTTAGCATTGGGGCCTAGCCCTGCAGGTGGGCAGGACCCAGGAACTGAGAAAGGCTTCCTGCTGCCCTGCCTGACTTCCTGCTGCCCTGCCTGACATCAGCGCTTTGGTGGAGAAGTTCCAGTCTTCAGAGGAGCTTGATCTTCGCAGCCACGCCACTTTGGAGGAGCTACTTGGAGGAGCTAAAATTGCCGGTCTTGGCAGTCAGCATAGAAGGAAGAAAGAGGCTTGGTGGACACCGTAGCTGCTGTTCCTACTCTGCTCTTCATTGTTTTCTGCTGCCAGCGGAATATGGACTGAACCCTCCAGTAACTGTGAGCTAAATAAACCTTTTCTTCCTTCATTTTGAGTGTTGGGTATTTGTCCCAACAATGTACAAAAAGTAACTAAGACACCATCCCTTCATGCAAAAGGAATTTTAGTCCATCTCGAAGAGTTGCCAAAGTCCTAACAGTTTCAGCATTGCTGAAAAGTCCAAGTCCTAAGTCCCCTCCAAGATCTAAGTCGAACTCTTGGCTATGAGTCCATGTACATATGAAAAGTTAAACATTCCCAACATTCAGTGGCACAAAATACATATTATCATTCCAAAGGTACAGCAGGATGCCAAGCATTGAGACCAAAGCAAGTCCAAAATCCAGAATGGTAAATATTAAGACTTGTAATTCCATGAGGAAAATCTGAAGTAATCTATGACAAATTGTGAGTTTCATGTGGCATCACCTCTATAGTACTTCTGCTGATAATACATCCCATGGCTTCTCTCTGGGGTTGGCTTTACTCCCTCCTTGCAGCTTTTCTCAGACAACCCACATTCCTGGCTTTTCCAAATTTGTGGGGCTTCTCACTCATAGCTTTACACACTGCCCTCCCAGGGGCACACTGCCTGGCCTCCCAGGCTTTCTGAAATTTAGGTGGAAACTTTCTTAGCCTCAGAACTCCTGTATTCTGCCTGCACCCCAAAACAACACCATGTGGATTATGTCAAGGTCTGCTGTCAGTTGGAGCAGTAGCCAGGCTTTCTTCTCTCTTGGCTGTAGGGGTCAAGTGCCTGGATTGCTAAGCACTCTGACCCTGATTCCAAGAAACCAATTCTCTGTCTGGTGCCATTCAGGAATTTGGTGTGTTCTCTGCCTCCATTCTGGGACATGGTGCCTTCAGCTTTTTTCCCAAAGCAAAGTCCCTCACCCTGGCAATTCTGAGGCTATGAAGGGTAGAGACCTGCCACCTCTTGTGATGCCCTCATGCCATCCTTTCCATTCTCTTGTTCCTTCTCTACAGTGGAGATCTCAGCTCTATCTTTGTAGTCCACAGCCTTCCTGGCACTTCCTTTCTGGCCAAACTCACATTTTAAATCATCCTGCTGGGTTCTTTGCTCTTGATTCTCAACATAAATCTAACTAAAAGCCTCCAACAAGAGACATTCCATTGCCTCAGCATTCAACACCCTTGAAATTTTTCTGCCAGATTAATCAATCTGTTGTGCTTAATCTCAGGCTCAGGCAATCTCTGGATACAAGCAAAATGCAGACAAGCTTTCTTCTGAACCATAACATACATCATTCTGGAGTCTAACAACCAGTTCTCTCCTTTTGGCCAACAGAAACCTCCCCAGCCTTGTCTTTACAGGCAGGATCTCTATCAGCCTTCTGGTTTCCTGATCTCTACCCAGAATCTCCTGTACAGAAGAGCCAAAGGCATTCTAGTGCTTCTCTTATAGGTGACATCTCCAAACCTTTCCTATCTCTTCCCATAAGCCATGCCCAAAAGCTCATATCCACATGGGTGTAATCACAGCAACAACCACCACTTCACTGGTACCAAATTCTGTCTCAGTTATTCTTCTCTCTTGTTCCTGAGACAAAATACCCAACATCCACAATTAAGGAAGGAAAGGTTTATTTAGCTAACAGTTAGTGGAGGTTTCAGTCCATACTCAGCTTGCTCCAAAGCAGAATAGAACATGGCACAGAGAAGCAATCCATAGTGGTGGAAAAACAGCAAGAGCCAAAGGTAGAAGCAGAAGCTGGAGCATCTAGCTAATCTCTCTCCTCTCCTCACACTTTAATGCAGCTTACCTGTCCCAGGGAGGGTGCAGCAGCAACACACTCAATACTCACAAACTCCAGAAGCCACCCCATGACTGCATGAGGCTTTATGGGGGATACCTATCTACAAAAAATAACAGTATTTTTCTTATATTGTGACAGCAAATGATTAATAGCTCCACTGTTATTTTTATTTGACTTACTGTTGTTTAATGAAATATTCATGCACCTGGAAACTCAGCATTTTTTTCCACTGACCTTTTTTTCCTTCTGAGCTCTGGAAAAGTTTCTTATTAAAAGAATCTCTATCTTGCTTCATTACATTTACTGCTTAGGAATATACAAATGTACAGTAAATATATGTTGCCTGAACAAAAACCATGTAGCACTTATAGTCATCTGTGTTGTAAGTGCATATGTCTTTTTTAAAAAAAGGACAAGGAGTTGGAATTATGACTATGGGCTTGGTGAACCTGGATCAGAATAGCTGTGGCCTTGGGATGCATATTATCTTTATTTTCATCTTTTTTCTCTCTCCAGCACTGAGTTCAACTCCTCTTATTTCCATCATGGGATATGTTGATGGAGGCATCGAGCTCCTCTGCCAGTCCTCAGTTTGGTTATCCCAGCCCATAGTAAAATGGAAAGGTCCACAGGGACATGATTTATCTTCAGATTCCAAGATAACTGCAAATAGACATGGCCTCTTTGATGTGGAGTCCTTCTTCATAGTCCAAGAGAATTCTGGGAGCATATCATGCTTCATCCAGCTCCCCAACCAGAGCCAAAGAATAGAATCTAGAATATGGATAAGAGGTAAGCAGGAAGGAGGTAAAGGGTAGATGGCTGGGTAACTTGGAGGGAGAACAGGAACTTCTGTGTCTATTCTTACTTAGTATTTGCCAGTTTTAAGGACTCATTTTGAAAGACAAGGTCAATGAAATATACATATATATGAATAAACATTTGACAAGGTGGACTGCTTTCTTCACTATACAATCACATATGTGCTCAATGTAGAGTGTGCCTAAGGAGAGTCACATGGAGAGAAAACATTCTCTCAGGCTTTCACAGAGAGTTCTGAGCAGGAACTCAGGTAGCGGACAAGGGAAAGTCAGGGTGGTCTGTTTAATTTCCAATGCTGTGACAAACGGAGTATGGGGAGGACAAAGGCCAAAACATTTACTCCTCAAGGCAACGTATTTGATCCTAGTTGGACTTGTGGTCCTGCACACTATCGTTCAATCTCTAACCATGCGATCCAAAGATTTTGGGTGTGTGGCTTTCAAAGTTCCTTACCCCTACATATCCATCTCATACATACCTGGCCAATGTCTCCAGCGAGACTAACTTTTAAAAAATACTTTATAAGCATATATTAATTATATATATATGGAGTTCAATATGATATTTCAGCACATGTATATAATCAAATCACACTTTCACATCTCTAGTAATCATTCCTGTACTTTTAGTTTTATATTAGTTTCTACTTATGAGAAAGGACATGCCATACTTGTCTTTCTGTATCTAGTTTATTTCAGTTAATATAATGTCCTCCAGTTCTATCTACCTTGTTGCAAATGGCAGAATTTCATTCTTCTTTATGGCTGAATGATAATCTATTGTGTATACATCATATTTCCTTTTTCTTTCTTTTCTTCCTCCTCTTCTTCCTGTTCTTCTTGCCCTCTTTCTCCTTTTCTCCCTCTTCCTTCTCTTCTACTCCTTCCCCTTTCTTTTCCCTTTCTGCTCTTCTCTTTTCTTCCCCTTCTTGATACTGGTGAGTAAACATCAACTGTCTTCACACTGAGCTACATCCCTAACCTTTTTTGTTAATTTATTTTGAGACAAGGGTAACCAAGTTACCAACACGGGGCTTGAATTTATGAGCCTTATCCTTGAAAAGTGCAAGGCAAGCAGCTATAGTTATAGGCAAGCAGCACCATTCCTGGCTTATGTCACATTTTCTTTATCCATTTTTTTTTTCAAATCAAATCAGTAGGACAGTTTCAACAATTAACACACTGCATACATTCTTCTTAGTGGTTAATTGCTGTACAAGATGTGGACTTGATATCCTATTTACAAACACCATTAGAACAAATCATTCTATTCTGTTGATTGCTAGACTGATTCTGTATCTTAGTGACTGTGAATACTGCTATAGTAAGCATAGGCAGTCAGGCATCTATTTGGTATGCTAATTCCATCTACTTACCCAGAAGTGGGACAATTGGATTGCATGATACATCTATTTTGACTTACTTGAGGAAATTCCATGCAGTCCTCCATCATAGCTCTTCTAATTTACATTTCTATTGCATGTTGGCCTTTTGGCTAAGATCAAGTGTAGTATCTAATTTGCATTTACTTTCACCAGTGGGGCATAGGGGGGTTCCTTTTTCTCCACATCCTTATTAGTATATGTTTTTGTTTGTTTTGGTTAGAAATTAGAAAATTTTGGTGAGATATATTTTTTATATTAATTTTCCTGACAGTTAGTGATACTGACCATTTTTCTTATACTTCTTAGTTATTTTTGTTTCTTGGCCATTTGAGAAGTGTCTGTTTAGACTGTCCACTTCTACCTTGTATTATTTGAGAGTTTTGTGAACTTTTTGAGTTCTACTTATATTCTGAATATCAGATTATATCTAAACATTTTGTCAGCTTATAGTCAGGAAATGTTTTCTGTCTTTCTGTAAATTGCCCTTGTACTTGGTTATTTTCTTTGCCACAGTTGTGAACTTTTGCTTTTGTTTCCTGCGCTTTTGCATCCTATTCAGAAAGTCATTGTACTAGTTTTTCAAGGAGTCTCCACACTGATATACAACCACTTCCTCTTAGTTCAAAGAGAAAGAAGATTTGTACTAACAGTGCTTAGACAAAATATCACATCTTTCTCTTGCACTATGAATAACTACTATGAAGACAGTAATATGCAATGTATTAATCATTATAACTGTCCTACTAACCTGTTTTGAAACAGTCTCATTGCTATTTCTTTCTTAATAAAATTATTTTAAGAAAAGAAAATCATTGTTTGGATCAGTGTCTTGAAGTGTTTCTCCTATATTTTCTGCTTGTAGCTTCAGACTTTCAGGTCTTATTAGCTTTCTGATAAGAAGCAGTATCAAGTTCCAGACTTCTAGCTGTCCTTTCTCTAATGTATATCTGTGCCACCTCTGTTGAGAACCAGAGGCTGCAAATATGTGGGCTTATCTCTGGGATCTCTTTTCTTTTCAGTTGGCCCACATTTTCTTTACTCTCTCATCAGTGGATGTACTCGTATGCTAATTCCACAGGGGGGGTTGTTGTGAATAGTGCACATGGTCAAAAGTTATCACATAGTGAGATATGAACAAATTGAAAAGCTTGGTCTATAGAGTAAGATGTATCCCAGAGCTGTTGATGACCAATTTTTTCTAAACTATTGGCACACATAGAAAAGTGTACTGATGGAAATCAGTATGGAGACTCCTTAGAAAACTTGGTCTGGAAATCCCCTTTAAACCAGCTATTCCTCTACTGGGAATTTTTCCAGAGGATCTGAAAACATCATATCATAGGGATATATGTGTTCCTATG